AGTATTATGAGGAGCGACACATTCTTGGTCCTTCTCATATTGGAGAAAACACATTCTGAAAGAAATCTTATTTATAACAGTAATGCTGCTACATCGTAATGCTCACTTCTACAGAAGATGAAGACATTTATTATCCTCAAAACCTATTACATTCTTGGTTGTCTGAATCATCCAGTACGTTTGACGTTGAGTCAACCATGGGAATATTATCTGCAGATGCTAATTATGACGTTGGTGTAGTTCAGTGTGTGCCAAGTCATTTCATGGTGGAGATGCGAAGTAAGTCTAAAATAAGCCATTCGTCTTGAATGACATAGAGATTGAATTTCTTGATAATTTGATTTTTTTCGCAGTTATACTGCTATTGTATCTGTAAAAAAGTGGATCTCTATTTATCACGAATTAGTTTTTTTGAAAAAATCATTCATTTGGAGTAATGATAGATGGTTAGGCACGTGCAAAACCAGCTATATTCAGGTTAAATTCAGATCTTCCATATCCAGAAGCGTATCGAAATCGTTAGTCTTCATTTTCTTTATATAATATGAAATCTTTGGTTCTGATTCCAATCCGAAATCACTCATTCCTATTACTAAAGTCTTGCCTAGAAGAAGGATAAACAGTTTTTTAAAGATGGCCTTGGAATGCTTTTGGCTGGTTATTAGATCTAAGAATCAGTCCGTGTAACTAAATAAAACTGATTCTTTTCACTTTCTTTAGAAAATACTAGCTGGTTAAAAGCTTTACATAATGTTCTGCAATCATCACATCAATTCGATACTTCATTACTCCAAATAGTTAGATTCTTTGAACGGATCAATAGTGGCCCAAGAGTGGATAATGGATTAAAGTAGTTGAATAATGTTTTCTACAATTTAAACTTTAATACTTGGTTAATTCTTGAACAAATCGAGTTAATCAACATCCCATATTGTTTAATATGAAAAGATGTTTCACGAAGAAAAACAGTTATGTCGTCTCGTTCAAACATTTCATAATATATCAAATATGTTATTAACAATATTCTTTTGTTAGATTGCATGCATTCATTTTGTCCTACACGAAAATGTGAAAAGAGAAATTTCATTAAATTAAATTCATTCGATTCTAATATCGCTTCAAATGGAAAATTTTTCATATAAATTTGGTCATTTAAATCCAACCGATCGTAAGATGGATTTCTCGTTTGATAGTAATAAGCTAATACTGTTTCCTCTTTTAATTCTGTATTAAAATATTAAAACCAAGATAAATCACTTCAAATAAAAGACTCAGACTTTCTAGAGGTTTATTTTAAAACTTAAGATTTTTTATTTTTGTCCAAAAAAAAAGTTTATCCTTTGATAAATTCATCTAAGAAATATACGCAAACTATAATCATTCCTTCGTTATAATTTAAAACATTAATTTAATAATTTCGTGAACGTCAATATGACAATGAAGCCCAAAGAAAAATCTTGATAATAAAAGTAGTATTGATAAAAGTGTATCTGATGTTAAATGATTATTTATCGTAGTGGAAAAATATCAATCAAAGTTCAGATCGAGACATTATAAAATAAAATAGAGAATCAAATAAACGATAAAAACATGAACGCTTATTTAAATCCATTGGTTGAACTAATCTTCAAATTTGAACATCTCTAAATAAGAAAACAACAAACGATAGAAAACGAAATTTACTGATTTATATGATTAATGCCAGCCATTTTCAGTACTGTTAGTTATAGAAGTCTAGATGGTGGGTGTGAGTGTAGATGTGTGCGTTAGGAGAATAGGGATACCCACACATCCCAACTCTATACATTCGACATCCACCTTCGCTGTTGAATTTGATTTATTATTGTTCTTTGATGACAGTTGACTGCTGTCAATATTGTTGTCTTTGTCACTAGAGAATATGCCTGAATGTTTGACGTTACGGAAACTTTTAATTTGCCCGTAAACGGATTTGATTCAGAGTAGCAAAAGCCTGCAAATCTTCATCCTCATGGCCAGCTTCGGGTCGAGAAAACCCATGTGTCAGCTGTAGTACGAACACTTCAATTCATAGGCTAGAATATTTTCATCTGATAGACTGAACGGCATATGTATATAAGGATCACAAGCTTTTGATATTCTTACTGAGATCTACATACTTTCAAATCATGAGGCCGATTAGTGTCAAACACTTATAAATACTTCTTCGTCAGTATTCTGAGATATATCTTTGTTTTTCTGATTATTCTGACTTCTCAAGTACAGAAACTCTTGAAAATCACTGTGTTTACTCTTTCTTCATATCATGAACATTTTCACCGGTCAATAAGTTCAATCACTGATCATCAATTACTCTTTTCTCAAGATCGCATGTCTTTCCTTGAATTTTGTTTTTCAGCAATCTATAGTTCGAGAGAAATCGATTCATAATTAGTATAAGATTGGCTTAACTTTTAGTAGTAGCATGATTTTTTTTCCTTCGAAACTTAAACTGTTTTTATTTTTCATTTGTCCTGGGTTTATATTGAAAACATTTTTTCGACTTATGAACAATTTCATGAGCATTAAATTTGTCTTCCGTGATTTTGTTAAGTCTGTGCAAATTGTTTAGTCATAGCTAACTAGGATTTTCGTACTGTGTAATTCATTCATATACAATCGAATGTATTTTCACGTATAGATGGTAAATAAATCCAATGCAGCAATAGAAAATGATGACTAAATCAATTATGTTCGCAATGACTCATTTCTTCTCACCTTATCTGTTGGCCTCGTGTTACATGGATGTTCCAAAAAAAAAAGTGATGAAAATGAAGAAGAAGACTGTTTTAATTGAAGTCGTGCGCATTCGAGAAAGAAAAAACCGTCATCTGAGTGTATCTTGCAGTAAATTCTATAATTTTGTTTCTTAACACTGGATCAATATGAAGAATATTGCGTAGCATGGATTTTAACAATTTCGTTTTAAGTTGTCATCGTTCTTTTGATTCTTGTCATTAATATGATCACACTTTTATTTATTTATTTACAAAAAATAATTCTGTCACAATCAATAATATGATGTCATGCATGATATGTATATAATGGTAGAAAATATATGACTGTTGTATTCATCAGTTTATGTTGCGTAGAACAATATTGGATGACGTCATATATATGATATTTCCCATTTTTTCGTTTCTTTCTTCACATATATACTGCACGTTAAAAATAAATCACCTACAGTATTTGTTTGTGCAGATTACTCACATGTGAAATATTCGTTTTTCGATCTCGTTCAAGAATTAATCGGATGAATTTATTACTATCCGCATATTTTTATTTTAATATATACCATTGACGAATTTGACAATAATTATATTTTTTACATTATCTCTTGAATGCATATTAAATCTAGTGGTGAATTTATTTACAATGATTTGTAAGTCAAAAAAGATCCTAAGATATCTTTTCTCACATATTGATTTGAAGAGATCGAGCAAAATCATATCCTGAAAAACCCTTGAAAACTATGTATATCAATGATCGACTTCTGACGGTTTTTTTTTCCATTTCATTCAGTTGATTTCGTAATATTTATCTGAGACCGAAACTGAATCGAATCGTTTTTTTTGTAAACTATATCGATCTCTTTGTATGAGATGTCTACTAGGTCAACTATTGCTTATATTTTATTTAAAAAAAGCCTAGTTCATATTGATCTATTTTAAGATACATATTTTAAAGGAAGCAGATCCATGTAATTCTGTTATTTTATTCAGTCGTTAGAGTTTTCAATGTTTTACACCTTTCGAGTCGACATACGAATAGAATTCTATTATTGTTCTCTGATACATATCTTGATTTGCTAATTGATATGACAATTAACTTTGTAAAACTGAGTTAAAAGAATAGATATTGCAGTTTTATGATTCAAAAGTTGTTGAATCGATCCAGTCAAGCTTAAGAATTACGAGTTGCAGTGCAGATCGTGGAATTGAGATAGACTTCGACTGTCATTAGACATTTGTATACTCGTTTTCTTTATATCTATTTCTTCCTTGAAGTAGATAATAGCCATAGCAGCGTTAATTAGATACATACAGGAATTGGTGCCTTCACCGTTTGATAAGCAAAAAAAAAACATTTCTCTTTATAAAACCCGAGTCGTAATATGTACCCTAGCGCCTTTTTGAAGCTTTCAAATTTCTCAAAATTGATAAATTTAGCATATAGACATATGAGAACTTAGGTAAAATTTGATGCGGGATGTAAATATATGTCACTCATGACAATGAAGAAATTCTTTTTTTTCCATTATTAATCGCATTGAATCGAGATTCTTTTTTGGTCTTTTCGGTCTTTTGTATATTCACAGTCTCCCCTAACCGAACAGCTTAAAAAGTTTAAAAATATAATTTTTTAACTATTGGAATTCTATTTCGTTAGTATATTGAAAGAAAAGTGACT